CAGCCTTTTTACACAAAACTGATTAACCACTTAGGTTCCACAGTGAGTACAGCCAAGCAGGTTTTATTGCATATATAGACTGATTTTACTATTGTGAGTTTAGTAACACTAAGTCGTAAACATAAAGTCATACCAACAGGTCTGTTTTTTTTTTTATTTTACTGAAATGCTGCATTATCATGAACACTTATTCTACTAACGCTATTACATTATTGCTTTAATTTTAAATTTGTATTTCCGACCCTGTAATCTGCACTGCACCTGAATGGAACCGGCCGAGATTTCAAACATACACGGTGACACTTATTGTGCTTAGTGAAGATCTGTGTGTGTTATGTCTAATGTTTGTTCTTTTCCCCTGAATCAAAAGGGTATTTAGATGTCTACAATGTTAGTACTGCATCTCATCATGTTTCTAACAATGTTGGGAGTCTGGGTCTAGGATGTATTGGATTTGTAGTGGTCTTTTGTTTTCTTCTGCAAAATCGTATAATAATGAGAACCTAAAACAAAATTCTCCTCTAAACAATTAAGAAGCTACAGTAAGCTCTATAATGTCGAGTAATATTGTTCTTCCCTGGTAAATTTAGACAGATAAACACCTTTTTGCTTTTATTAGTACTCATGTAGGAACAGAGAACAGTAGGATGGCACAGACAATTACAATATACTAATGGCTCTGTACTCCTCCAGGTTATGGCCTCATTCACCTGGGCGCTGAAGTCCATATACCATGAATGGGTCATTTATTTATGCAGTTGGAACCTCCTGGTGCTGTATGTACACAGCCAATGTAAGTCTATGGGCATGGACAGCTGCTAGCCCTAATTTGACAAGCATGTGCATAAGCGTCCCTGAACGCAGACAATGTACGTTCTGGAGCACCTACCCATACCTGAATGTCTGTCATATTAGGATGAGCAGAAATCCTTGTTACATCAATCAAAGGCCCGGGACGCACAAGCACAGCTGCCAGCAGTCTATCAAAATCTGTGACTAGACTCTGTGATGAGTAGTAACCACGTTAAGTGTCATATACCATACACTGGTAGAATTTAGTTGAAATGTTTTGTTTTAAGATTGTAAGGCAGGCCACCCATGATGCAATTTTCTTTCAAGCAACCACGGGTTGCAGGAAATAAAATCACTTGATTCCCCCATCTACACACTAAGTGTTGATGGGAGAATCCCTCCCATGCAGCTACTGTGTTCTCCTGGCAGGTTGGAGTGGGGGGAGCAGTGCCCGCCGGGAGAACACAGTGATTACTGCTAGTGGCTGCTAGCAATAATCACATGTAAAATCCGACATGCTGGTTGTACCAAAGTCATACAACAATCGACTTTGGTACAATCAGCCTGCCCATAGATGTTTGAAATCTCGGCCGGTCCCTGCTGAACCGGCTGAGATTCGAACCATCTATGGCTGGCTTAAATGGATATAATCATTATTGGGGTTAAATCATCATTTGTGTTTGACCACACTGATGACAAAATTTAAAAGGAGCAAAATGGAACATTTTTCTCGCACTGAATTATTAAAAACAAACATTTTTTAAGTACTTTCAAACAACCTTCAGCAAGTCATTTAATGTACTGAGAATTTTCATAAAAATGTTTGTACAATTCTACTAGTGTATGGTCAGCTTAACTGTGCAAATGTAGACCCACAGCTAAAGGGTTCCAAGCAACAACCTTTCCAAGACCAATTTAAAGCTGAACTCCAGACAAATATAAAAGACACAAAATAATGTAGCTCTGTATTCATAAATATCATTAAATGTATTTTTTAATGCAGGCAGTGTAAATACCAGAATTGGACTCGGTATCAACCTCAGCAATCCCCTGTCGACTACACCACAGACTGGAATAGGGTGCAACAAAAAGTGAAAAGAAGCCAATCAGGTGGTTATATTGCTGATAGGAGGACAGTGCACAGGGTCTATAAGATGAGCTCATTAGTCTGCTACTTCTCCTTTCACTGCCCGGTTACAGGGTGGGGTTGGAAGGAGACCTATAAGTGAAAGTGAAACTGCAATCAGGCCCTCTCCTCTGCCAGACAGAGCCGTGCGGTGTGGGAAAGCTGAGTAAACCTCAGAAATAGATAGAAATAAAAAATCTTTTGGCAGGTAAAACAGCTCTTATATATGCTTTATTTGTAAATTTAGCTTTTAGCCTGAGGTTCAGCTTTAATTATTCCTGAAGAGGTACAAAAAAACATCACATGTTCTATGTATGCACAGGTTGGGTAAAAGGTGTCCTAGAAATGAAAGTAAGCTATCTGAGCTGATTTCCACATTACTTGCACTGCTGGAGGAACTGGAAGGTATATATGGGAAGCACTACCCTAATTAAACTGGCTAACACATCTGAACTGGCAATAACATTTCTGCACACATTTTGTAATTTTCCAATGCTAGTGCAGTTTGAGGAGCAGAAAGATGGAAAAGTTATGAAAAAACAAATGTTCGGAGGGTTATATACACTTTCACAATAAATTATTTGTGTAAACAGGCTATATGGGTCATAGTTCATAGTCATGTACATCCAACCCCTCCAACGTAATTTGATCCTGAAATTTTATAGCTCAAATGCGGGGGTCAGCAAGCTGTTGGCTGCCTGTGGGCAACAGATAGCAATCAATGTGTACATTGTGAACACGCCCCTGCTGTGCAGATTCTTCCCTTCTGCCTCCACCGCTCTCATCTTCACTGGAAAGTGGAGAGCAGGAGGCAGCACAGTACTGGAGAGAGGGCGGGAGTGAGAGCCACCTCAGTTAATCTTTCAAGTTAACCAGCAGGCGATTGGAAAAGTTAACTCTGGCAGCTCCAGCTCTCTATTCCAGTACTGTGCTGCCTCCCGCTCTCCATCCTACTGTACACCCAATGAAAAGTAGGAGAATGCTACCCACACACTGCTGTGTGTTTGTGAAGAGGGGAGGAAGAGGGTGGGGGCTTGGGTTGGGTCAGAGGACACTACTGAAGGGTGCAAAGGAAACTACTACTATGGGGCCAGATGACACTGCGTTTGGGTGTTAGAGGCAGACGACACTACAGTGTGGGGGGGGGGGGGGGGAGGTGATGTGAAGAGGGCAGAGGTCACTGCTATGAAAGATGGGGGGGGGGGGGGGAAAGGACACTACAATGGATGGTGTAGGTTGAAGTGAACTGACACTGCTATGGGGGGGGGTGATGTCAAGGGGCAGAGGACACTGCTATGGGGGGGGGGGGGGGGCGCAGGGGACACTTCAGTGGGGGAGCAGAGAATACTATGGGAAGGGGGGGGGGAATGTGAAGGAGGCAGAGGACACTTCTGTGTGTGTGTGTGTGTGGGGGGGGGGAGGTGATGTGAAGAGGGCAGAGGACACTGCTATGGAAGATGGGGGGGGCTAGGTTGAAGTGAAGTGACACTGCTATGGGGGGGGGGGGGGGGGGGGTGATGTGAAGGTGAAGAGGACACTGCTAGGGGGGGGTGCAGGGGACACTTCAGTGGGGGGAGCAGAGAATACTACGGGAAGGGGGGGGGGTGTGAATGTGAAGGAGGCAGAGGACTCTTCTGTGTGGAAACAGAGGACACTACTCTGGAGGGCGGAATACATTGCTGTGGGGGGAAGGTGATGATGTGACGCGACTGAGTATATTACTGGGGAGGGTGATCAGAGGACACTCTGGTGGGGGGTGATGTGAAGGAGGGCAGAGGATACTACTGTGGAGGTAAGTGTTGTGAAGGGGACAGAGGACACTACTGTGACACACTTTGTGTTCTTCATGCTATCTTTTTTGGGGGCTTCATAGTTATTTATTTTTTCAAGGGCACTGAAGAACCCTCCCTTCCCGAGGTCTTTGCTTTCCTCCATGTTGCCCACGTATTTCTCAGCCTCTGAAAGGTTGCCTAATTAATTTTTTTTTTTTGCCCAAACTTGGCCATATATTATACAATATTTTTGTACAATTTTCCTTTTGGCTTACCGAATCCATATAATATCAGGTCATACCAAAACACATTCAATTTATATAAGCAATCAGGCAGGTCTTTGCTCTACATAGTTGAAGGTAAATCTAAAGGAAATTGAACAGAAAAATTGTATAATGTATGGCCAAATAATTTTAGTCAGAAATAAAGAAGTCCGGTTTCACATATTCTGTACCTTATGGAATGGCTGACATTGAAGGGTACGAATTTCTAGCTCCCCGAAATGTGAAGGCTTGCTTGTATTCATCGACTGAGCAGAACATAATACAGCTCTGCTAGAACTAAAATAGTATTCCAAACGATGAGTGGCTGATCAGTTCACATGTCCACTGCAACAACGCAAAATTAAATTCTGTCTAAACTCCAAAACAAAAAATATTATATTGTAGCTTACTAGTCCTTTGATGTAGTGGCTGCATTAGTTTTCTTTAGTCTTTATATTCACCTGGTGATTCTGCCAGTAAAACACTTCCTGTCTTAGGGTGATAACACTCACTGTACTAGTGTGAACAGTGTTGTCACCCTAGGCTGCTGTCCTGACTACAAGTATCTCCCCTCATTACAGAGGTAGAGATGTTTTGTAATTAACAGAAGATAACTGAGAAGGCTAATAACATTGTGCAAGATTTCAGTTCAGTGCGTAGGAAGTGAAAAGCACACTGGATTTCTGTCAGAATCAATAGGTATTTTTTGAAATACAAATGTAGCCCTCACATCTAAGGACTCTCAAGCTACAATATATTATATATTTCCCTTAGATTTAGATATACTTTAACCACTTGCCTACAGGGCACTTATACCCCCTTCCTGCCCAGGCCAATTTTCTGCTTTCAGCACTGTCACACTTTGAATGACAATTGCGCAGTCATGCAACATTGTACTCATATAAAATTTTTATCATTTTCTTTTAGACAGATAGAGCTTTCTTTTGGTGGTATTTAATCACGTCTGGGTTAATTTTTTGCTAAACAAACCAAAAAAAAACTGAAAATTTTGAAGAAAAAAAAAAACCACCTTTTTTCTTAGTTTGCTATAAAATGTAAATAAGTGATTTTTCTCCTTCACTGGTGTGCGCTAATGAGGCTGCAGTGATGGGCACTGATAGGCGGTACTGATGGGCACTGATGAGGAGGCACTGGTAGGTGCACTGACGGGCATTGACAGGCATCATTTATGGGCACTGAAAGGCAGCACTCATATGGCACTGATAGGTAACACGGACAGGTGGCACTGACTGGCACTGTTAGGTGGCACTGAAAGACAGCTCAGATGGACACTGATATGTGGCATTGATGTGCACTGGTAGGCGCTGATATGGCATTGATGTGGCACTGGCAGGTGGCATTGATGGGCACTGACAGGTGGCACTGATGATCAGTGCCCTGATGATCAGTGTACATGTCCCCTCTGAGTAATGCTGAATACTGGCTCTCCTCTCCTCACGAGCTGTCAGCGTGATAGCTGGTGAGGAGAGGAATGCCAATAACTGGCATTTCCTTATTTACATGCGATCAGCTGTGAATGGACACAGCTGATCACATTACAGAGCTGATATCATCAGCTCTTCCCGTTGATCATTGATCCGCTGTGTCCCAGGGACACAGCGCACCACCGCGCACGCAAGCGCGGTTAGAGTGGGAGGACGTCATATGACATCCTCCTAGAACGAGAGAACTACCTTGCGCCCGTCATTTCCTTATATGGCAGGCAGGAGACGGTTAAGGTCATTCTAAACGTAAAACTACTAATACATAATCTAAATAAACCACTTCACATCTGAACACTTTCACCCCCTTCCAGTCCAGACCAATTTTCAGCTTTCAGTGCTGACACACTGAGTGACAATTACTCAGTCATGCAACACTGTACCCATATGGAATTTTTACCATTTTTTTTTTTTTTTAGACAGCTTTCTTTGGGTGGTAATTAATTACCACTGGGTTTTTTTGCTATATTAATGAAAAAAAGAACAAAAATTAAAAGAAAGAAAAAACATTTTCTTAGTTTAGGTTATAACATTTTGCATATAAATAATCTTTCTTCATAAATTTGGGCCAAGATGTATTCTGCTACATTTCTGGGGTAAAAATAATTCAAAATAGTGTATATTTTTTAGTCTGTGTGAAAGTTATAGAGTCTACAAACTATGGCATATATATATTTGAAAACTGATCAGTTGAGATCCTAAAATGCTGAACACTGGTATGACGTATGGCAGTGATTAGGACACTGGTATGGGGTGATCAGGATTTTATGGGGGATCAGGAATGCTGGTATAGGATGGTATGGTGATCAGGATACTGGAATGGATTATGGCAGTGATTAGGATGCTGGTATGGCGTGTGATCAGGATACTGGAATGGATTATGGCAGTGATTAGGATGCTGGTATGGCAGTGATCAGGATACTGGTATGGATTATGGCAGTGATTAGGATGCTGGTATAGTGTGATCAGGATTGGATCAGGGTGCTGATTTGGATATGGTATGGGTGATCAGGGTGCTGGTATGACAAATGGCGGTAATCAGGGCACTGGTATAGTGTATAGCATTGATCAGGGCACTGGTATGGTGGTGATATGGCAGTGATCGTTGACAGGGCACTGGTATGGCATATGGTGGTGATCATGACGCTGGTATGGTATATTGTGGTGATCAGGACACCAGTATGGTGGTGATCAGGACATTGCTATGGTGTATGGTGGTGTTATTGTGAGCACTGAGACAGGTGACAGGGGCTGGCTGCATTGATTATTGGCATTACACTGGGGCAGGCTGGCACTGCAGGATGCTGTACACTCACAGGCTGCAGCAACAATTCTCTCTGCTCTCACAGCAGAGCAGAGAGAACCGATGCTTACTTTCTATTTGCATTGTTTACTATATGATTGCTGTGATTGGAAACAGCAATCACGTGGTAAAACACCATGTGATAACCCAGACACAGCGGTAATGCGTGACACGGATCGCTGGGCTCCCGGCTGCACACACTGAGCCACGCACGAGCTTCTAATACAGGCTGACATACAGGAATGGTAGCCCGCATCAGCTATAGGCTATGGGCGGATGGGAAGCGGTTAGTCAGACTTGCATTTAGATCTGAATTCAATTTTTTTTATCTAGTTGTGTTACAGCCCTTAAAGTGATTCTAAATGCATTCTATGCATGAAGGTAAAAAAAAACCTTCAGTTTGCAGCTCCCCCTGCAGCCCTCCCAATACTTACCTGACCCCTATCTCGATCCAGGGCTGTGCAGGAGAACAGATGCTCTCCTGGGCTCTGCATCCTCAATGGCTTAAGACACAGAAGCGGGATTCACTGGCTCCCGCTGCTGTCAATCACAGCCAGTGATGAGGGTATGGGTCCGAGCCCCGTTCTTTGTGTCTTAAGGCATGGGAGTGAGCATGCATGACTGCCCCCAGAGCAAGCGGCTTGCTCTGGGAGCACTCAGCAGGAAGGAGGAGGGAGGAGCCAGGAGCGCAGAGTGGGGACCCGAGAAGAGAGGATCTGGGCTGCTCTGTGGAAAACCATTACACAGAGCAGGTAAGTATAACATTAATAATGTTCATTTTTTTTTTTAACCTTTAATATCACTTTAATGCAAACCAAATAACTAAAATCCCAAATAGGCTTTAATATATTAATGTATTTTTAATGCAATTTTACATTTTTAAATCTGCACCAAAAAAAATACATGAAGATCGTGCCATAGAAGTCCCTCTTCAGGTACTTCCTATTTTAGGATGAGAATTTTCTGTCCCTGTCCCCTAATTATGCCTCCTTTGTCGTCACTCTGCCATATGGGCTTCCGATGGAGACTACAGTAAGCTGTTTCAACACACATTATGCACGCTGGGTCCATTGTTGTCACAATCAGGAAAACCAACCGTGGAAAATGACATGAAGCTACAGTTAGAGTGCATGCATGTAGAGAGAGAGAGTGATTGCAAAGAGACTGCAGGGCATCGGCAGTACTGAGATATAACAAAAGATTAAAAAAAAAAGTGGAAACAGGTACTTTATGAAAAAAAATTACAATTGTTTACAATGTTTTAGCAAACGAAATGTCATTTAATTAGGGTTTACATCAACTTTAAGTAAGCATGAATGCAGCATACTTTATTTTGGAGGATTTGCTGGGCAATTATCACATGCCTATGGTGGCAGGCAGATGTCTGATGGCCAACCACCGATTGTTCTCCACCAAAATAAACACTGCCGGCAGTATCTGCCTATGACACCCTCCTCCTTTCTCCCTCCCTCTGTACTGACAAAACCATACTAGTTTGGCAGAGCTGTGCTTGCACATTATGGAGTTCTCCGCAGCACATACAAGGCCCCGAATGTTCTCTAAAGCCTACTTAATTGTATTTTTGGCTCCTTTAAATGTTATTTGTGTTATGATAGTATGGTATATTTCAATAGACAGCATAAATACTTTATTGCTAAATTATTTTAATTCTTTGGGTTTCAATGCATTACTGTTAACATGCTTTTTATACTTTTTTTTATACTTATTGCACTGGCAGACACAAACATGCACACACACTGTTAAGTTCTCTCTGGGCTTAAAACCTTTAAAGGAACTTATTGGACATATATAGGCTTGTATTTTATTGGTTTCAAATCATTGTTTGTAATGGAAGAGTTTTACTGAATGTATATCCAATTACGTTTTATGAATGTGCATAATTACATTTGTATAAAATTGTATTATCTAATTTTGTTATTTATTACAACTGATCGGATCAAAAGCCATAAATAAGATCTTTTTCATGTTTCCTTTTGATATTAGATATGTTGTCCCAATAGTTTATACCATAATGTATGAATAGTGCAGACCTACTTTCTTTTGCCCTCCTTAGGGCTTAAATCACTATTAAGACACAGTAGGTAGAGTTTTGAGGAAGAAAAAAAAAAAAAAAAAAAAAAACAACTGCAATCCATCTTTGCATAAGTAATTCCAAAAGGCATGGAACCCATGTTATGGGTTAGTAAAAATAATGACTAAAATTGATGCAGTAAACATTCCAAAAGGAATTGGGCCACATAGATAACAGGATACTCTGATTAGTGGAAGCCTTGAGCAAAAATGTGTCATGAAACTCATTAAACTTATAATTTTAGCTCAATTGTATTAATATTTAATGTGAAGACATTTCCATTATAGATAGGAAAGGGCTAAAAGTGACTAGAGGTAAAACACCGCTTTTGTTCATTTTTCACTCCTCCATAACTTTTGCACATAATAACCCTCAGCATTAATCGGTTCTATGTGACTAAACAAGTTGGTTTAAATAAGTGATATGCAGTGTCTGGTAAAAAAAAAAAATATCAAGATGTGCATTCTTACCTGGAAAGCCCACTGTTTTCAGTACAATTCCAGAGGAGCCCTGTGGTAACATACCCTTAGGTGAGGCTCCCTCTCCAACAGGAGTACCCAGTGTCTGCCCTCTTGCAGATGCTCCTGCTCCATCTTGCTCATTATCCCCACTCTGCATTGCTCTTGCCGTAGCTTGAAGCATCTGGGAACAGGTAGCATCCCCAGGAGGAGGCAATCTCAGTAGGAGACCAGAATAGAAATTTTGATATCCAAGAAGTCTGGAAGATGAAGATGATGGAGAATTTGTAGTGGTAGTATGGGTGGACTGAGAAGGTTGATGTGCAGGGGGTTCCTGCCCTCCTACCCCTTTTATCTTGCCAAGGTGGACCTTCATGTGGTTTTTCAGGAACCAGGACTCCTTGAAGCATCGTCCACAAACTGAGCATCTATGGTCAAAGGAGTCCTTATGCTTACGCATATGGCCTTTTAGGAACCAGGACTGAGTGAAGCTCTGGGAACAAATCTCACATTTAAACTCAGCAGGAGGCAGGGCGGGAGTTGGAGTTGGTGTTGGTAGAGGTGGAACAATCTTGGGTCGCTGAGGAGCTGAATGTCTCCTCTCAACATGAACTATCAGCTCCCCCTCCTGAGATGCTGCAAAGTCACAGAGGTGACATTTATAAGGCCTGTGGAGAATTCTGAGGTGGCGTTCCAGTTCAGCTGCCTTTCGAAATTTACCTTTGCAGAAAGGGCAAGGATGGCGAAGTGTGGGATGTGTAGCTGGAATAGTCAATACAGGGACTGGCTCCTGTACATCTTCTATAGCTGAATTTGATATTACAGGGGAATTTGGTTCTTTCTGATGCTGGTGCCCCAGCAGCAATGGCCTTTGGGAGTTTGTCTCAAAATGAGTCTTGTGCCCTCCACGACCTTGTGCAAGGTTTCCACGCACTCTGTGGGTGCTTGCATGAAGTGCTAGAATGCTGATAAAACGGAACTGCTTCCCACATATCGTACATGGAAATTGACGGGACTTGGAGCTTGAACCATCAGAAAAACCATTGGAATGGCGCTGAAGATCCAGTTCTTCATCAGCAAAAGAAATCCCAAGCAGGGAAGATGGGGCAGGTAGAGATGCAGGTGGGGGGGAAGGAGAAGGTGAAGTCTGAGATGGCGACAGGGAAGATGGAGGAGGAGATGGTGAAGTTGGAGGCAGTGAGAATAATGGACAGCTGTCAGGATTTTGTGGGGAGGATGGAATAGTTGTTACACTGGGAGAGCCTGGAGGTGTGGAAGAAGCAGAAGAGTCAGCTGGTGGGCACAAAGAAGCTGGAGATGGAGATGGAGAAGGAGAAGGAGAGACTGGAAAAGGGGATTCAGATGGTGGAGGGGGAGAAAGAGCACTTGGAGGTGGACTTGGAGCAATAGGAAAAGGACAGAAACTAACTCTTTCAGGAGAAAGGCTTTCAGGAAGGGCACACAGGGAGACAGGGGAGGGGGAAACTGGAGAAGAGAGCGGGAGAGAAGCTGCTACGGGACTGGTACGAGGTAAAGGTGAAGACTTTGATGGAGAATTCTGAGAAGGGAGAGACAAATCTGTGATATGAGGAGGAGGTGAAAGAGAAGCAGAAGAGGAAGAGATATGAAGAGATGATGGTGGGCTTGGAGGAGAAGCAGGTTGAGGAGATGTGGGGGATATGATCTGTTGAGAAATAGATTGTGGAGGTGATGAAGGATTCATATGGGAAACAGGAGGAGACTGAGAAGGAAGGGTTTGAGTGAGAAGAGGTGGAGCAGAGTCCATTGCTAAAATGTCCCAATGGGTCTCTCCAGGGATGTTAGTTATTCTCCTAATCAAAGATAAAACACAAACAAATCAGATGTTTTAGGTAGATCAGATGTTGTGAGGTGTATTTTTACATTTTAAAAGGAGAACATTTACATTTATTCAGAAACATTGCTTTCCTCATACACAAGAAAACATGTAAATTGGAAGTTCACCCCACAATTATTCTATAAACATTAAACAACCATATAGCAAAATGCACCTTGATAAATTAATTGCACCATGTTTGACTTCTCTCTGCTCTTTAGCTGTCCAGTAATTAGCAATGGAAACTGCTGGGCATGTACCAGTGACAGCATACAATTCATAGAGTTGCATAGCCACTTATTGCAATCTATATCTTTGACAACATCAGGGCACAGAGGAAGCATTTACAAGTCTGGCTTTGCAATCACAAGATGTAGGTAGAATGAGGGGGGTGAGCAACACTGTAGGGAAGATTTATGAAACTGGAGCACTCAGAATTTGGTGCAGCAGTGCATGGTAGCCAACCAGCTTCTATCTTCAGCTCTTTCAATTAAGCTTTGACAATAAAACCTGAAAGCTAATTGGTTTCAATGCAGAGCTGCATCATGTTTTGGAAGCTTCAGTTTTAGTAAATCTCCCCCTATGAGCTGCATGGTGTCAGTGGTAAATAGCCAGCAGTTTCCAATGATGATTACTAGACAGCCAGAGCATGGAAAGAAGTCAAACATGGAGTTATGCACATGCTGTCACATGCCTAACATGCATATCATAAATATAGAATATCCTGGCTATTTTATATACATAGAGTAATTCTAGGGTGATATTCCACTTTAAAGTGGAACTAAACTTTCTGAATCACCACTATTTTTAACCCTTATGCTGCTAGCACTTGTAAACAAATAGGAAAGTATATCATATTTACTTGTTTAAGGCTCCATGCACACTAGCATTCTTTAGAAGCTTAAAAATCACTAGAAAAAAATTATAAATAGCATTTTGTGCTGCTTTTTAGTAGCATTTTAATAGCATTTAGGAGTGCTAGCATTTTACAGTACATGAAGAAAAAAAAACAACCTGTTTTTGTAACGTTTTTTCTGCTGGCAAAACACTCTTAAAAACATTTTTCTGCTCATGTATGCTGGAGCTTGAAAACCACTTCTAGCATAAAAATAGTGTGAAAAAAATAGTGGGAAAAAAAAATGCTCATAATAGCTTCTAGGAGCTTAAAAAAAAAGCTAGTGTGCATAGAGCCCTAAACTGTTTTTTCTTTACATTTCTCCAGTCACTTCCTGGTTTCCAGGCCTGGGCTAAATTATGTCATACATCATAGGAGTCTTCAGGAGGGGAGGAGAGGCTTTCTCAGCAGGCCTTGCCTAAGGGCAGATGGATTCCAGGAAGTTAATGTTACATGACTCATCTTCCCTTACTTAAGATAGCCAGGGCCAGAAATGCTAGGGGGTGTATTTCAAAGTGATTTCTCAGGATAATAAAGCATGGAGACATGGATAAATGGGCGAGTTTGATTTTAATATTAAAAATTAATGAAATAGCCTTTCTTTTTTGGTGCAGTTTAGTTCTGCTTTAAGGAGAAGAGTAAACTTTTTCAGGACCAGTGCGTTCAATGAGTCAATAAGTAACAGCTTTTTTGGCTGAATAATAAACTATTTGTGGATTCATGTAAAGACACTGACCATATATTATACACCTACAAACAAGATCACTAGACACATTAAAACATTTTAACATGGCTGATCGGTTTTTAAGTGAAAACAAGGTAGGCTACATACTAAACTTGCGTGAAGCCATGTGACACAGACAGTATATATGTTCCTTCAAAAAAATACAACTGTCAGTCACTAAGGAATGATTATGGCATTCCCATGTTTGTACCCATGTTCCAGATACTTTGTTGTTACCTTCTTCTTTGTAAGTCCTATCTTGGTAGAGTGAAGGGATAAATCAGTAGAAAAGTGAGTTCTGTTTTCGTACACATAATTGTGGATAAAATATGCAAGTAATGAATGACCTTTATGGGAAATTACAGATGAAATACACAAACTCCTCACTTCAAAATCTAGGCCTTTAAACAACAGTGGCTTGTTCAGTGCACTGGTTTTTTTTTTTTTCTTTCTTATATATGTACTGTTCACTACAAATGCACTGTGTGCATATGCCTTACTCCTACAGCAGACAATCCTTTGGCTGGATGAAACTATCACCTTTACTTTTCGAGCTATGTTGAGAAGGCTAGTGACATTCAAAAGTACCTTTTCAGTACAATTGCCAAATAGCAACGGTGAGTGATTCACCCTCAAATGCCAGAATATAACTCAGCTAATGACTAATCCTAAAATTCCACCAGAATAACTGTTATTTGCAACTCTGGCACAATAAAGGAAACATGTCGTAAAGAAGTATGCAGCCTGTCATTGCTGATCTCTCCATCGGAAAATACAAGTCCTTTGGCTGTCATGCTTATCCAGTGGTGTCAGTGAGACTGACAGAGAAAAATGTAACATAAAACCTGGCATTATTTTTAAGGGCTTTTATGTGGGTAATTTTGCATTAACAATCTACAAAAATACATGAAACATGTAACAAAAGATTTTATTCCAAGCATAACAAAGTGTTACAATTTTGCAAATTCTTTAAAATCTGTGGTTTGCAATAACGCCGCTTCAATTTAAAAAAAAAAAAAAAGTTCAGAAAAGCATGTCCGAGTATCTAGAAATAGTGACATTTTATGAAAATATTTGTGGTTACAGTGTAAAAGTACTTTTAGCACAGTTATGTAAACTTTACTTCTTCCATTACACCCCTCCAAGTCTTATACATACCTGTCCCCACTCCTCTGAAATCTTTGCTGTGTGGCCTGCTGGGCACTGCACATTCTCGTCACTGAGACAGGCTCCACTCATTCCTACAGAGGCAAAGGCAGTCTATTATTCTTCCCAGCAGTGGAAGGCCTTTACACAGAAATGAATGGAGGTTCTTCTACAAATGCGCAAAAGAAAGCACAACATGGCCAGGAGACTTTCAATGCACAGACTGTGAGATGCCCAAGCAGGTCACACAGTGAAGTTTTTGGAAGATTGTCGAGGGTATTTAAAGGGAAAGTTGTCAGGGTATACATTTAAAGCTAGGTTCATACAAGCCCATGCTCTGAAAAGTGCACTTAAGCAGTCACTAACTGGGACTAAGATGCTGCAACTATGAGCCAAGCATTTGGCTTTTGAATGGGGCCTGGACCCTTTGACTTGAATTGCCAAGTTTGACAGGAAATTCTGCCTGTTAAGTGGACATGCCATGTTAAAAAAAAGTATTGCAGCTGTGGCATATGAATGGCCCAATCTGGCTGTATTTTTGTGTGAAACAATCCTTAACCGTCTGCCCGCCATGCTATAATAGAACTACTGCTACAGGGTGGCAGGGCTGCGCAAAATCACATTATATATATGTGATTTGCATTCCTGGGTAGGGGGAACCCAGCGCTCGCCGTGCAAATCTGGCAACTGAAAGACCTGTGTGTAAAACACAGGCCTCTCTTCTGCCAGCAAGGACATGCTGCTTTGTATTTCTCTGCACATCAGAGAGATACAAAACAGCATGCCTCCCTAGTAAAACAGCACACACACAGTAAAACACACACAGCATACAGTTACTCTTCCTGCCCTGTGTCATTAGTACAGTGTCAGTGCTTTTTATTAGCACTGATCACTGTATTAGTGTCACAGGGGATGTCAGTGGCAGTTAGTTCCCACCCAGTGTCAGAATGCCCGCCACAGTCCCGCTATAAGTCGCTGATTGCCGCCATTACTAGTATTAAAAAAAAATTAAAATAATAATTCCAATATATATACACACACACCTCTGCTTTTTTATGAAAAACTGACCATACTAGGTATGAGAACACAGCATGGTCAGTTTTCTAGCTATGCTGGGAACTCAGCCTACTCTCCTTTGATGATCAGACTTCTGCTGACACGCCTTCCCCCCTGTACAGCCATTCACTGGGAAGACCAGTGTATGCTATTTTCTCCTCTCCAAGCTCTATGAGCTCCTTATGCAGCTGAGTACAGAGAGTATGTGATCAATTACATCATAAAAAAGGGGAAAAGGTATTTATGTTTTTTATATGCAAATTTTTTGGCTTTTAATTTTATTTTAAACTGAATGGGTTGTTTTTCAAGGTGAGGGTTTACATATACTTTAACCACTTCCTGCCTGGCCTATGGCCGAATGGCGGCCGGCAAAAACCCTCACCTTTCTGGGTGGACACCATATGGCGTCCTTTTGGGCATGCACAGTTTGCGCGCCTGCAGAGCCACGCAGCGGCACGATCTGTCACCGGCCATGTACCTCGGACACGGCCGATGACAGATCTGAGTACCGGCCCCGTTGCCGGTACCATGTGACCTGCTGTGACCAATCACAGCAGGTCACATGACAGTTGTATACAATGGATGGCTTCATTCATGCCATCCATTGTATATTAGTGTGTCTAGCTGTGAATGGTCACAGCGATCACATGCACAAGCTGGGCCAATCACAGCCCAGCTGTGCGATTAGCCATTGCCAAATCACAGCGAAGAAAAAAAAAAAAAAAACCCCCCGAATGAATCGATGTCATTCAGGTAAATGCTTGCTTATAGCAAAGTAATTCTTTGCTATAAGCAAATTGTGTAATGGTACTGGTACTATGGTAACATTGTACTACTTTGGTCATAGTGAAATGAGAAAAAAAAAAAAAAATCTTAAAAAAAAAGAAAAGAAAAATGTAATAAAAAATTAAAAATAAAAAAAAATTTTTAATTATATATTTTTTTTTCATACTGTCACCAGTCAGTGTCCCTGATCACCGCCATGCCAGTTATATGACGACGCTGTACTGCACTGGTGACAGTATGTAAAAAAAAAAAAAAAAAAGTGAAAATAATTTTTTAATTTTCCGAAAAATTATGACAAAAAAAATACAACTTCAAAAAAACTCACCATGCCTCTTATGAAATACGTCGGACTGTCTACTTTGCAAAAAGGGGTCATTTGGGGGATATCTGTACTGTTCTGACATTCTTGGACCTCAAGAAATTAGATTGGCTGTCAGTACTTCAGGATTGATCAATATTCAGATATATCCCATAGTTTGTGAACTCTATAACTTTCCTACAAACTAAATAATACATCCTAATTTGGGTTATTTTCACCAAAGACATGTAGCAGAATACATCTTGGCCTAAATTTATGAAGAACAATTATTTATTTGCAACTTTTATAACAGAAACAAAGAAAAACGTGGGGTTTTTTTTTCAACATTTTCGGTCTTTTGTCAATTTAGCAAAAAATAAAAACCCCAGTGGTGATTAAATACCACCAAAAGAAAGCTCTAGTTGTGTGAAGGAAATGCTAAAATTTTAGTTTGGGTACAATGTTGTATGACTGTGCAATTGTCATTGAAAGTGTGAGAGCGCTGAAACCTGAAAAATGGCCTGGGCAGGAAGGGGGTAAAAGTGCCCGGTATTGAAGTGGTTAAATACCAGTGTCAGAAGGATGGGAAGTGACATGTAATCTCCCCAACAGGTACTATGATAATAATTGCAACTTTTTTTATTAGTAGTGGGAAAGTGTTAGAAATGCAGCAATTAAAATCCTTCTCTACTCTATCCAAAAATTTTAAAAATCCTGCAGCACTCTCTCTATGTATGGGATACTAATGAAGCAATGATTGGGAGAGCTCAGGAGACACCTGAGAGTAAGCTGCCCATTCAGTTGATGGCATTTTAGTAAAAATATGTTAGCATTATGTTGTATATGGAGGCAGGGCTACTGACAGGGAAGTGTAGGCAGTTTTCCTTTACCAGGCTAATTAGGGTCACCAGGGGGGGGGGACCAGCAATGGTTGTTTTTGGCTGTCTCCCCTGGGTGCAGTGTGCCCCTGTACTGCCTTGCATGGAGCCTCCTGAGGCTGGTAGCCAATGGGAACTCTCTTACAATTGATTGGCTTTTCCCTGGATTGGGGGAGGTGGTAAGCAGGGTGGGGGTGTGGCCGAATTCTCCCTTATTCATAGGTGGCCGCTCTGGCTGATACAGCAGCTGAAAATGGGAAGGAGGGAGGAGCAGAGATGGCTGCCCGGGGAGTCTTTCACCCCCAGCCTTGCAGTAAGCGGCTGATGGGGAGAGGTTTTCTCCTGCAGGAATTTCCTCCAACAGTGCTCCTTCACTGGCTACTACACTGCACACTGCTCCCAGCCCTGCCACTACATAGTGCATACTGCCCTGCTCATACATACTGCTCACTGACTGTCCTGCCAATAATTACTGCTCACTGACTGCCCCGCCATTACATACTGCTTGTTGACTACAGTGGTACTACATACTGCTCACTGACTGCTCTGCCCATACAGTCTGTTAACTGACTGCCCTATCATTACATACTACTCACTGACTGCGTCACCATGGCATACTGCTCATTGACTGCCCTGTCAGGTCAGCTATAGGGGTCCCATGATTTCTAATGGCAGCCCTGTATGCAGAGCAACAGGTATATGGCCCATTAAGATACTGCATGTGTATATAATATGAAAGATACATTTATAGAGGGTATGATGATATATGGCTGACTTATGCAGGCCATAGACGGGTCGTTTAATCGGCCAAATTTTCGTCCGCGGGAAAAATCAGTTGATATTCACACCGTTAGTGGGGCCAGCCAGTCGGACATTTTTCGCGGATCTTCTCATTTATTTTTATCGGTTATGCTGGAAAATCCATGAAAAAACGTCCGTTTTTCGTGGACATTGGTGGCAGCATCGGCAACAACCAATTTTTCGTTTATTGGCTGACAATTCGGCCGATAAATGGCCCGTCTACGGCCTGCATTAGGGACTCCTGTACATTGGTGATCAGATTCAAGACATATCAGCACTAAATACCATTAAGATTACCCCAAATGGCACTGCACTGGTGCTGTTTATATATACAGCTAAAAGACAAACAAACCAAGATATCCTATCATGTTGCATTTCCTTACAACATTCACTGACACACAGTGCTCATGGACACAGCAGGCAAGCTGCCTGTACTGTTTAATTAACCCTACAGACAGACAATCTTGGTTTGAAGTGCGCCAGATGAAGCTTGATGCTGATGGGGCTCAAATACTCCCTGAATGCCCATATACAAGAGTCATTAATGTGACGACTCAGAACCTATTCCAGCTAGATTACTAACTATATATCATGATAAAAGTTTCTTCATAATGCAACAGTGTTCCCAGGCCTCTTATACATTTTCTGAAACTAAACTCAAAGTTCTTCTATGTGATCACCCATATATCCCTCTATTGTATGTATCAAGTATAAAAAGACATGCAAGCTTCTGTAAGGTTGGGTGTGTTTCCCATGTGGGAGCATGTCCCTTTGCTGACACAGCGGTGACGTTCGGGGTGTGATTAAGTAAATATGTAAATGTCAATAAAATAAGTTAAACCTCACTCCTTAAACGAATCACATCTAAACCTTCCCAAAATTTCTGTATTACTTTAATCTACTTATTGTGAAACTAACATACTTCCTTTTTTTACTTCACATTTATTTATTATTTTCCCCACATGTACTCATAGATGAAGCTATCCAGAAAATGTAATAGTGACAGAGGCTGGGGCAATGAGCAGTTGCAGCTTTTTTAAACACTGTATATTCAGAAAAAAACTTTTTTTTCTTAGTTTTGGTAGGAGTGGAGAAGGATTATAACCCATGTAAGGTTTTATTGCTATCTTCTGAGGCTCTGTTAGAAAGATTTATCTTGACTCTATCCTTACCAATGTTTTACCAGATAGGAAGTGAGGGAAACTCTCCAACAGAAGTACAGACATATGAAAATGCTTTTCTTTAA